ATGAGAGAGGCCTGTAATCGACATCATAGGTAGATCTCAACTATGAGAGACAGTATTTGGTCACCTACAAACAAGCAAGATTTCTGGGTCGCACAGACAGGCTCCTCTGTCCTCCACTCATTACCTGTAGTAATGGCACCTATTTAAACTTGTTATCAGTATAAAAGACATCTGTCCACAACCTCACACTCCAAACTCCACTATGGTGAAAGCCAAAGAGCTGTCGAAGGACACCTGAAACAAAATTGTAGCCCTCCACCGGACTGGGTAGACTGAATCTGCAATAGGCAAGCAGCGTGGTGTGAAGAAATCAACTGTAGGAGCAATAATAAGAAAATGGAAGAGAAACACAACAGTGCATTGTAGACACTACTTTGTAGGATTCAGAATGAAGGACTGAGGGGCTGCTGAAAAATGATCCAAGGGCATAGCAGGGCAGCGGGGAGGGGGGGGAGCGCTAATGGACATCTTGGGAGGGGTAATAGATTACCTCCAGTCTGAACCTTCCCTTTGCCTCTCCCCCCTTCCCCTCCTATGCTTCTGGAATGCTGCTAGGCATCTCTCCTGGAAATAAGAAGGAAACCCCACAGACTAGTTTGAGGCCATGTTCTATAGTACATGTAATTGCCTTCTTGGCCTCAAGCCACTTCCAAGCAAATCGGTTCCAAACTGCACTATAAATGTGCCCTTAAGAGTTATGTAACACACTTGCCATTAAATACATATATGTACCTCAGTCGACTCTTTTTAGGACCCAAGTGAGAAATTTTGGATTGATACATCTTTTCAAACTGCAGCTGTTACTAATCTTCTTCTATAATGCTACGCAATGTACCTAACTGTTCTCCTTGGTGAATTGTCAGCCTACACAGGATACACACGATCAACTTTAGGAATGCTCTAAGTTTGTCAAAGAAAATTTCAAGACTCTCATGAAGGCTTTGATACATTGGAACAGGTTTAATTCAACATTTAGTAATTTGCAAAATCTAGTTTGATTAAATTTTGTCCTCAGTGATCTAAAGGCACTAGATTCCATCTGATCATCTCTGGTTATTTCTTGAATGGGAGACCACCAATGAATTATCAGGTACTATAGTATATATTTCAGAAGAAACAATGGCAACCCACAACTGAATATTCCTTGCCCTAGGAAACCCTAGGAAACACATGAGGTTGTTGTAAGTTGACAGGTGATTCGAAGTAACCTACACACGTTTGAACAGAAAACTGAATTTTTTATTCGTACCTTTTTTTATAAATATTCAAAACTGAAAGCTGGTATCTGTTTTTTGCAGTGGGACCACCAGATGAGACTGTCAATTGCTGCAAGAATGCTTGCAGCATGTTAGTATCTTGCAAACTGCTATTACTTTACAAATATATATGCACATATGCAGATATGCGCATGCCAGTCTGCTTGTTAGAACATAGCACATTATACCAGCCATTCCAGCGTTACAGTATGGTATGATAGATAAAAGAAGTGGAAGAATTGTATTATGTAATTCCACCGAACATTCTTGAATAAAAATAATTTTGCCTAGATGTACAAGTGATCATCAGTAGACCTATTCTGCCATTCCTTATGTTTCAGAGTATACTTGTGTTGTTAGGAAAAGAAAACCACATGATCCATGCACAAAGGAAGGTATGAATATATCTAGGTACTGATCCTCCAAGAAACAAAACTGTGAACTATACTCGTGGGTTCTCATGTAGAACAGAAAAAGATTGCGTATATTACAGGTATAAACATCCTTCCTCAGGCAACAAAACTGCTCATGCTTTGGAGGAAATGTAGGAAGGCACAGTTTACTCAGATTGATCTTTAAGATACCTGCCAGGGGTCTCTCAGGGAGACTATTTCTGATCACTTTGAGGAAGAAGAGCTTTGGATGCTACCTCACATACATGATATTTCGTTGTGGGGAAACTTTTCTGATACCATACCCTATCCAGAACATGTTCTACTCAGTAAATAGATTTTATGTAGCGTATAACAAGCAAAAATGCATTCAAAAATCAATCTATGGCAATCTTAACCCACTTATTATTCAGACTTAGTCAAAAACAACTTAGCACACTGGCAAAGTAACTGGCAATACCATATTAACACATTTTTATCCTTTGTACAAAGGCAACAATATACAAGCAATAAGAAAATAACTGGATTCAGATCATTAGAGGTTCACAAACTAAACACATGAAATTCTGGAGGCCATCCAAAGTGTAATCATTCCTAGGTGTTGATGTCCCTTCAATAAAAATTCAATGTTGCAATTATCCTCTTACTACTTCCCCACAGAGTATTAGTAGTCATAGCCATAATATTTCTCAGCCAATTTTATTAATGCTGCAAAAAGACAAATAGGGCCTGCAGCCAATCATTGTGCCAGATCACTGCCTTCTGATGGCTACTTTACAATTAGCCTACAATTTGCAAGTGAAAACTGGAGCACCGGTCTTTAAATGTCAAATAACAAAATTATTTTTAAAAATAAAGAGCACGCTTGGTTAAACGTGCAGGAACTCTAATTAAATCAGCGACTAAAGTCTCTCCTCTTCTTTGCTTCCAAATAACAGTCAGGTAACACTCCTCAAAACCTGTCATTTGCAATAATGCCACTCAGCTACCAAAACAAGTTCCATGCCATCATTCCACTAAAGTGCCCATTTCTGAAGCAGTAAGCTCTGTTATTGCAATCCTGGCAACATAAGCCTCACACTGACTGGTTCAATTTGTTCCATAATCACAAGCAACTTTATCTTTATGGTAATGTAAGCTTATATTTATGCAACACATGTGGTCCATGTTTTCAGAAGAGGAAACATCATACCTCAGCAAAACGGTGCACATACACAAGCTAATTAGCCACTTGTTGACTATTCTATGCCAATGCAACAAATAAAGTTGCCTGGCAGATCATTATTTTCCATCTTTGTTATATTTAACATCAAATAATAAATGAAAATTAATTCTAGTTAGCCACATGTAGAGACAAAATGCTGTTTTCTCTTCATTATCAATAAAGCTTTGTGCTTGCAACAGAGCACAGACTTCAATAACAAGCCTGATCAGAGATTTGTCAGCATAGTCTCTGGGTAGCCTTCATCTATTATACCCATTCAAAAACAATGGCTGCATCCTCACTAATATATGCTGAGAGTGTAAGTAATTAACCCTCTGAGATATGACAGAAAAAAGTTGCCATCAACAGAAAAGCCTAATAGACTAAAAGATATCCATATAATGTATATGTCTTCTGATGTGGAGGTGGAATATGCTCCACTATGCTAAGAGAAAAAATATGTACACAGGACACAAACCATCCTGTCAAAAATAAACAGATTTTTAACAATAGTTTTTCATACAGAGCAATACTGTTCTCACTAGAATTGTAATCTCATAGGACACCAGCTGGGATCTCAGTGATTTGTTACGTCTCGCTGGGTCTTCAGGCAGGGGGGCAAATCTTAGGGTGAACAGAGTGTGATTTTTCTCTGTGTGCGTGAACTTTTTTCATCACCCAGTTCCCCACCCTGCTCTTCTCAGCTGGCTCCAGGTCTCAAATGGCTTAACACAAAAGCGTTTCTATGTGTGTGCTTTCACAATATTAGCACATCAAAAAGCCAGAATAAGGAGGTAGAATGAAGAGTAAGCCACTGTCTGTACATGTGCCATCATGGTACTTGCAGCGAAGTGCTACAACTGGAAAAACTCCCCACATATCATATGTGCTGTTATAGGTAAGGCTATGCAGAATAATATTTCTTGTAAGAAGAGTAACAAATGCTGTAGCTGCCGCTTATTGCTTTTCTGCTTTCTCTTTGTTGCCATGTTACCAGGTTGGCTGGGCTCTATCTCTATTCTGGGTCCATTTATTCAAATCCCCCTTATATTAATTTCTACAATCATCTAGATCCAGAAGTAGTTACAATAATAATAAATAAAACTTTATTTATACTCCACCACCATTTCTCATAGGGACGCGGTGAGCTTACAAAATAGAACACAAAGATGCCATACATAAATACATCAACATGAAAACAATAATAAATTACTTAAACCAGGTATATAAATTGGATAAAACGACCTCTATTAAAAAATAAAATCAGTTAAAGATCCATGTAATTAATATAGCAGCCCACATAGATATAAAGTGCTAAGTGGTTACTGTCTAAACATTAGCAACTGCCTGCTAGAAAAAACAAGTTTTCAACTCTTTCCTAAAGTTTTGTAGTGTAGGGGCTTGTCAAAATTCACTGGGGAGGGTGTTCCAGAGCCAGGGGGCCACCACTGAGAGGTCCGCTCCCTTGTCCCCACCAACTACATTAAAGACGGAGGCGGGACCAAAAGGAGGACCCGCCCCCCCCCCCCCGGCAGATCTTACAGCTCGCACAAGTTTATAGGGGGAGATGTGGTCACAAAGATAGGCTGGATCCAAACCATGTAGGGCTTTATAGGTGATAACCTGCACTTTGATTTCTACTTACTCTCTCAGCCCCTGATAGGCAGCTTTGATATCACAATTGTTTTCCCCCTTGTTCAGATTTTGGCCTTGCAGCCTTTGGAAACAGGACACAGAAGGCCTGGTGATTTACTTCAGCATTTCAGTAAACCTGTACTCTTCAACCTGCAGAAACTGTTCAAAGCAGTTGAACAGTGAAGGCTGCGAAGCAAGAGAAGTTTTTTGATAAACAGCATATCTTTTCCACAAAACACGTGTTAAACTTGACAAAAAGAAATAAAATCAAAGAAGCAAAGGAATTTTAAAAAGTCTCTCTTGCAAACCCACCCACCCCCGTGCTTTACTGCCTCCTCAAAAGAATGCTTCCATCTCAAACACTTCTTTGACCTAAGTATTATTAAATTAAGAGAACACACGTAGAGAAGAGAAGAGAAGAGAAGAGAAGAGAAGAGAAGAGAAGAGAAGAGAAGAGAAGAGAAGAGAAGAGAAGAGAAGAGAGGGAATAGTACATAATATCTCTTTACAAACCTGTTGCTGTGGATACTGCATCCCTCCCATGGAACCTGAAGTCCGGCCTTGCATTCCCATTGAAAAGCGCTGTGGTCCTGGAGGTCCATATGACTGCCCTGGATACGGACTGCTTGGCTGGGTCTGGGTGTGAGGACTGTTTCCCACTGCAAACAACTGAGGTCTTTTCATTACCATGGGATCCATTGTGTTGCCCTATTGGTTTGGGGAAAAAAATAAAACAAACCTCTAAATATAGTGAGCAAAGAATTAAAAAAAAATACCTTTGCTGATGTATTTTCAGAGTTCCCGTTTTTTCAAACAGAATCTATATTTTTCTCTCCCTCCCTCCCCCCCCAAAAAAATGAAAACAGCAATGTAATTTCAGGCTTTATATATTACTGCCAGTTTCCAAAGAAAGCATACTCATACAATTCTATTGCCAGAAGCATAATGGTGAAGCACTTCAAGCACACATTTGGCACAGGGAAGGGCCCATTTCCGTGCTTGGTTCCTCCCTACTGGATTATGGCCCGTATGGTCTAATTGCCCTTTCAGAATCTTTACAGTGTTACACTTTTGCATTCCAAGTCAGTAAATGAGTCATAAATGGCAATTCACATGAAAAGATTCTCTATGGCTTTTAGTTAGTTGCTTTACTCATATGCTTATTTTCAGAAAATAATAAACCAGATCTTGTGGCTAGGGAAGTACATAAAATGTATTTATAGCATCTTCTTGGTAATGTTATTCATTCTAGAGCACGTGTCAGAAACTCCAGGACCTTACTAACAGTAAACTACAACATCCATTCCTTTCTGAAGCCCACTTTTTTATCTTAGGGTTTTGGCATGAAAGCTATTAAAAGAGAAACTCTAAACATGCATGTGTCCATAGTTGCAGTTTCTCTTCATATAGTTTTTCCACTCAGCATGCTTAAATCCTTGATGGCATGACTAACTTCTCTGAATTATCTGCACAGAACACTTTTTCTAGTTGTGTTTATGCATGATTGATAGATAATATGCTTGTGTGCATAAAGGAGAAGCATAAGTTCCAATCTACATATAGGTTACTAGACACAGAAAACTTTGTTAGCTCCCTATAACTCAGAGTAAGTCTGACAGTGAGAGTCAGGGTACATTTTTCAAGTGAAGGTCAATTTAAATTTGCATCTATACATATAAAGTAGAATATTCAAATATGACCAAATTACCTAGGTATTTGAACTGAGATTTTACAGTTGCTAGATACCAATATGTTGTGTGAAATTATTTAATAAATGTCTCATTATATGCATGAAAGTGGTATCTAAATCCTACAATTCTTAACTTAATGACATGCAGAAAGCACCAAGAATTGCTAATAAATTACACTATGTAACATGATTCTTGTTCTTGGGTTATAAATGTCATTTCCTAATTGATTCTATCATAAAAATATGGAAAAGTTTATTACACTACAAGAACTTTGTTTTTGCAGGACATCCTGTAGCACAACGACGTTTCTGGAGTACAACAATTACTTTCAAAATAAATACTGCACAATTAAATAGGAATAACACTTTCAAACCAGGAACAGAATATTTTTTCAAATTTTGTTACATAGTATTATTACTTCAAGTAATAAAAATGTAACATATTGTTGTCTTTGTTCTGGAAGATTAAGACACTTGTCTGGACATAATGGAAATTAATTTACTCTTTCCTTTGAAAATGTAACAAAACCCAATGAGATAAGTCATGGAGATTGTACATAGAAAGACCTGTCTCAAATGCAACTTCAAGAAATATGATTTGGTTTGCACACTTTGTACATAGAGTTGACTACACTCATCATTAGTAACACACTTGTATATATTATTATAAAATTGTTACACTGGATCATTTTTTTTAAAAAACTCACAAATTTTTATTATAATATAGGAGTAAAGTTATATATACTGGCCCAGCAACGTATATGCTGCTTTTCAGAGGAAAGTCATTGAACAGAACTAACACTGCCTTCACAAAGTACATTATAAATTGAGCCATTTATTTATGTTGTACCTTTACTAAGTTGGAAAATATCATTAATATCTAAAGACAAGTGGACAGATTTTGCCTTGCACAAGAAGATTCCCCTTTCTGTCTTTTTCCATTGCGTTACCCCACCCCACCCAACCTTATGAAGCAGATCTGGACGCACTGTCAAGATATCTGATCTATTTGTTTCCATTTGTCTTGTGAATGAGCAACAGTGGAACTCTCTGCCTCAGAGTGTGGTGGAAGCTCCTTCCTTGGAAACTTTTAAACAGAGGCTGGGTGGTCTGTCAGGGTGGTCTGTCAGGGTTGTGTTTTTCCTGCATGACAGGGATTGGACTAGATGGCCCATGTGCTCTCTTCCAACTCTATTATTCTATGATTTGATATAATCCTATCTGGGGGCCCAGTAAAAATGCAACTGTCATTTTTACTGTCATGACAATATCTTATGGAACCCTGGAATTTGCAGTTTAGTGAGAGATACTAAGCATTCTCATCCAGAGGACTAGTGGCTCATCAAATTACAAATCTCAGGATTCCACAGGATATTGCAAGGGCAGACAAAGTGGCATCATAGTGCTATGAAAAAGGATGCCAGGCCACGCTGACAGTGACTGGGCCCATCCTACATTTCTTCTGGAACTGACAGTTGAAGGGGCAGGCAGTGGAAATTTTACAACAGTACATTTAAGCTCATTTCATTATGTCTTTCCTCAACTCAAACTGTTGGCTTGTATTTTTTGTGTGCTTTACATTTATGTTAATAGCATTTTGGGGCCATTCTCTATGTATTGTGCTTATGCTTATTGAGGAGACATATCCCAACAAAAACCAAAGAATCAGCTTTCAATGAGCTAAGAACAAGTTGACCCCTCAAAGTGCCAGTGGAAGTGCAAGTAGTTGTTAAAACAACATTTAAAACCCATTACATACATTGATCAAACCCCGTGCCCAAAACAATCCTACAGGCAGCAACAAACTGACTATACTGTTCAATATGCAATCCTCCAAGTTTTGCTTTGTTTACGTTGTAGTAGCTGACTTACATGACAACACATTTGGAACTCCCACTGAGCTTCTACATTTTAAACCTTTCTTGGTTTCCCTGTTCAATTTTCTCTTTTAGCCCCCCACTCCCAAAATGATTTCAATTACCTGAACTGACTATACCAAAAGGTTCCTTGGCTCTGTAATGCCTTATCTGGAGGACAAAGGGAGGGCAGTGTTGGGGAGTTTCCTAAAATTTTTCAATACCTGAAAACCTTACATTACAATGATATTCCTGAAGCTGCAAAAAAATTTCTCTGGGTGCTTTTCAGGCAAGATTCTCAACTGCTTTTATGTTCATGACTCCCATTAATTTTGTTGTTGATTTTTGATAAAGGTAGTATTATTTTAAAGCATTGATCCATCGGTTCAAAGAGTTTTTTTCTAATTGAGATTGGCTACCCTCTTTGTCCCACAAAAAAACCTGAGTCCAATCTGGGGGTTGAAAATCCTCTGCAATAGGATGTGGCATCTCCAGTTATGAGTGAACATTTTTATCGAGTTTAATTTTACAATCTATTTTGTTGTGATTATTATTATTATTATTATTATTATTATTATTATTATTTTACATAGAAATACTGCATCATGTATTTCTATGTAAAATGATACCAAAGTAATTAAGAAAAATGAAAATAGAAAACCTTTTGCAAAAGCAAACAGTTACCAATCCCATCTCTATATTGTGTGCTGCTTGTATATAACCTATGGGTATCTGGAAGACTGCATTCTCCTTTATGAACCTGCTCCAGCTCTTAAATCTCTGAGAGAGAGATCTTATCTTTCTCCCACTGCTCTCAAGACACATCCAGGGGAAATACAAGGAAAGGCCTCTGTAATACCTTCTTGCAGAAAGCTTAACATCCTTCATCAGCAAAAATCTATTCAATCTGCAGGTTTCAGGAACTCACTTAAAACAAAAAGAAATTTTAAAAAGTTTTAAAGTATATTGTTTTTTCATTTTTAACAAATGCTTTAGAGCATGTTTAATGTAACAGATAATTTAATTACATTATAGTGACTATCTTTTATGCTACGATATTTGTTTTAAATGTTTTAATGCTGCATTTTGTCTTGAGGAAAACTGCCTTTTCTGAGATAGCAACAGTGGTAATATGATTCTTCTCTCTCTAAGACATACATACCACCTTATTTGGGGGGAAAAACAGCCCTCCACAATTTCTTGCACTATGATTCAATCAAATCTACCAACTTGTAGGAATAAGGGCTACCATCAGCTCAACCACCTTCAAGCAGCACATTTTGCAGAGCTCCTAATCCTGTCCTGGTCATAGGCAAGTTTCCCAAAGGATTCTGCTTAATGTCCTAACACTTATTCAGCACTCTGATTTCCAGGTTTAAAGTCAAACTTTTGTATGAATATCATATTAGTTCATAAGTTAAGGAAGTAAAAGGATTTAAAAAGTAATTACAGTAGAGTCTCGCTTATCCAAACTTTGCTCATCCAATGTTCTGTATTATCCAACGCAGTCTGCCTCCTGCCCAGATCCACAGCTCTTTCAATACATTGCGATGTTTTGGTGCTAAATTTGTAAATAAAGTAATTACTATATAACGCTACCGTGTACTGAACTGTTTTTTCTGTTGATTTGTTATAAAACATGTTTTGGTGCTTAATTTGTAAAATCATAATGTAATTTGACGTTTAACAGGCTTTTCCTTATTCCTTCCTTATTATCCAACATTTTCACTTATCCAATGTTCTGCTGTCCTGTTTATGTTGGATAAGCAAGACTCGGATGTATTGGCTAAGGGGGGGGGGTCTCCTGAATACGTCATTCTGACCCAAAAATATATAAACCTTGATCAAATGCAGAGATCTAAAGAAAATCCTGACTGCAGCTGTCAAAACATCTTAGCCAAGTTGCAAAACGCCAGGTTTGTCGATGTCTACACAGAAATCTATATTTGATCCCTGTGATTGGTGTCTTGAGCTACAGAAATCAGTACCTAAAAGTATTGAACAGGATGTGCTATTTTAAAAATTAGAAAGGGGTAAAAACTCTCAGCTCCCAATATTTATACCACAATTCATCATACTAAAAACATTTTAGCATAACCAGCTTGCAGGTTGGGGATTCCTAGTCTGACAGAATAAGGGAAGTGATTTCTGCCAAAGGGGGC